CATTAAAAATACACCAGAAAAGACACAGCGGTGTGAAGGATCATGCTTGCTCTGAGTGTGGGAAGACTTTTTTTACAGATGGTGCACTGAAAGTGCATCAGTCAGTTCACACTACAGAAACACCTTATAAATGTTCACACTGTGACAAGAGATTCAAACGGTCACAATATCTGAGAATACATGAGAGGGTCCACACTGGACAGAAGCCTTATCACTGCCATTCATGTGGGAAGACTTTCACTCATTTTTCGTCTCTAATCGGTCATAAAAAAAAATGCAGGTCTGAAATTAAAACTAGTAGTTTGAGTTCTGGTTCTGTACTCTGAGGTGCGAAGATGTGTAGGACTGCATCAAACAATTGTTGATAATTGATTAATCAAAGGTTGTTAGAACAATTAATCCACTGATTGTTGATTATTTCACAGATTAATAATTTATTAATCATTTTATTATTATTATTCATTTGTCATTCTTCATGCTTTTATATTACTTATTGTTGTTTAATCTTATGGTTTGTAAGAGATTAGAGAATGTGTTCGTTTCAAGGTTTTTAATGTCGCAGGAAAATGTTGTGAAGCAGTGCTTTTCCATTGTTTTTGCTTTGGTATAATAACATTTGTCTTAACAAAATATGATCGGGAGACAAATGACAATATCAGAAAACAGCTGCAAGTGGACGCATTAAGTAACCAGCTGAGAGTGAACAGACAAAGATGGCACGGTCACATCTTAAGAAGAGATGACGAATACGTTGGAAAGAAAGTCAGAAAGATGCACTTCGGTACAAGAAAGAAAGGATGGCCAAAAAGGAGACTCGAAGAGTGTATGAACGAGGACGTGAAGGCCTTGGGCTTTAGAGTAGAGGACACGGCAAACAGGAGAAGTTGGAGATGAAGGATATGCACCGGCGACCCCACAGATATAGGGATTTAAGCCTGTCGATGAAGAAGATAATAACACCTGTCTTGTTGGATTTGTACTGGCCAGACTAAGTCTGAGCTTTTAGACATAGGCATTCAGATGAAGTATGAGCATTGAAACATACGCAACTAAGATTATTCAATAAACCGTGGTCTTTGTATTATCATCACTTCGTCTTCTGCTTCTGCTCTTACCTGTCTTTCAGTCAAACTTTTGAGGCTGATAGAAGACTGTTAACAGAGTTTTAGGTACCAGGCAAGACTATCTGTTGACAGGTTTTACTAGTTTTGGACACCAGACAAAACAATATCAGATATCTTCTGACAGGGATTCGGGATCCGGGATCGGATCTAATATATGTGATATTTCGGATGTCTAGATCCATCTGATTTAACACTGCTTTGCTTAGAACTGAAACAGAAAAACACTTCCTCTCTTATAATGCATTATAGTGTTACGATAATCAAAACAGTGCTGAGCTAGATGAAGCTTTCTATTCAAACCAAACTACTTTTTTTTGCACTCATTAATAAAAAGACTTTACACTAGCTAGCTTTAAATGGAGCACACTCACTCACTGTTTTCATCTCCTCTCATTCCACAACATTTCGGTACAGTTCTGTCTTCCATGTGTTACATCTGACAGTATCTGTGGTTTGTAGTAGAGATGCATTGATGCTGAATTTCTCTGCCGATACCGATAGTTTGATTTTCTTAAGGGGAAAAAAACTCTCCTAACTGATGCTGTTGACTACAAAGGGAACCATATTGTTTGGTTCATTACTATAATATTAAAGGCTAAAATTAATAACAGAGCTATTATATTCAACTGCTATTTATTTTCAGATATAATTACACTCAAATAAAAATTGAAATGTCTGTTTACAACTCATTTACAACTAGCTTCATGCCAGATTTATTCAAACATATATATAATTATATATAGTGTCATCTTTAGTGTCGTTCTATAGATAATTAATGAACTGTGAACAGTGGATAACTTTGCTGAGGTAAATGCCACGTAATACTGTTCACAATCTGTTTTATTGGCATCTTTCCACGGTTGAAACACTGACTGAGCGATTACATTAGACATGATACATTTTGGTAAGATATGCTGTATCTTTCAACATACCTTCTTATGTTCATGTTTATTTTGGGCTATAACTTGAGATGACCAATCAAATAAAAGGCAGATTTTAAAAAGAGTGTTCTTAAACATATTCTTCCAAATTTAGTCTCAACTCTCAAACTCCACATTGCAACGTGCATTTTGAAATACCAGAAATTATCTAACTACAGCATATGCTAAAACTCCAGTGAGTTTTTATGCACCTGTATAAGCTTTCAATATTTCAATGTTTATAGCACTGTTTTGAACAATTAAGACTATTATATTAGTTGCAATAATAATTACCTTCTTGTGTGTTTACAGTTCCCGCTGAACCAGAACATAATTTTAAAAACTGTAATTATGGCCAGCACTACAGACAGTAGTATTAGTGGTATTAGAAAGAATGTTGTCTCTGTTCTGTAACAGAAATAGAAAACAGCACATTTTATTAGTTCTTGCTTTCCTTCGGAATCAAACCCATGACTTTGGCATTGCTAGTGCCGTGCTCAACTGGTTGAGTTATAGTAAAGTAATAATAATACAGTACTACAGTAATACTTACTATATAATTATGTCTTACAGTATTTGCAATCAATGCAGGCAAACAAATGATCAGTCCTGTCTTACAAAGAGCCAACAGAGCAGCTTAAACAGATTATTACCACAACTGATGTACCTGCACATGTGTGACAGAGTTGAGTGATGTCCAGATGTTGAGTCTGATACCAAATCACAGGAAATGTTGCCAAAAATTCCCTCAAACTGAAGTTTTTATTCTAATTTAAGAACGCTCATTTAGATTACTGTGGTGCCTCCTGTTTTGCAAACTAGCCCTAAAGAAACCAGAGAAACTATACGATCTGTTGACATGTCAGCAAAGCGAAAGTAAAAGTCATCGACTATTTCACAAACAGCTAACCAAGCTTAGCATGCATATTATTAACATATTGGCTGTTTATACTTACAAAGCACTTATTCTGCATGACCATATTCTATCCCTAATCCTGCCCAATACCTAAACTTAACACCTACCTTACTAATTATTAATAACCAGCAAATTAGAAGTTTATTCAGCCAAAAGTCGTAGTTGATGCGAGAATTGGACCTTAAAAAAGTGTGACCTACATTTTTAATAAAAAAAATTGCTGGCTCCTTTGAGAGTGGATAAATTATGATTTTGGGGTTGATTATGTCTAACTCTATCTTGCTTGTGTTTATCCCAGTTTATAAGTCACAAACTTGAGAACCGTATTAGGTATATCGTTGTGCTTGATAGGCTATGGGAATTTGACACTTTGCAGGTGTAACTCATAATTTAAATATCAAAGTTGAGATTGTAAATGATGAAATGTGTAAATAGTATTTAAAAATGTCTTCATCCATGAACCTAGTCTAACTAAAGGGAATTGTCAGCCCTTTATATCAGGTAAAGCCAAAGAGGCAGTTAAAAGTGTATGCAAATGATGATAAAGTATACTGTAAACTGTGATTTATAACCAATCCTAAATCACGTATCTGTGTGCTGTACAGGGCATGAAAAATACAAGGAAAACCAGACTGGGTGTTTCAATGGAAAAAGTTTCATTTCATTTGTAATTAGAGTAAAATAAACACTCATCACACCAGCAAACATTAAAAATACCTGCTAATTTCATGCTCACAAAACAGCTCTAATGTGAAGTATAGACTTCACAAAGCATGATCTAAAAAGAAAACGTAATTCATTAAACCAGGCAACCTCCTTCCATTGCTCCAGTTCTGACACTCTCATGGCCAAATGCAGCTGATTTTGACAGTGGACAGGGGTCATCATGGGCACTCAGACCAGTCTGCGGTTATGCAGCCCCATACACAGCAAACTGAGGTGCGCTGTGTGTTCTGACGCCTTTCTATCACCGACAGCATTAAGTTTTTTTATCAGCTGTTTTGGAGATGCTCTGACCTAGTCTTCATCACTATTTGGTCCTTGTCCAAGGCACTCAGATATTTGATAATCCTGATGCTGCTTTTCTGTACTGCACCAATCTGTACATTTAGGGTGACAACAATTCTTAAAAACACATTTTTAGATCGGTATGCTTCAGTGGTCTAACATCTCTCGTCAATATCAAAATTATTGAGATGACCAATCGCATCAAAGGCAGGTTTTACTGTTCACAACCAGATCATGAATTCCAAATGCATTAAAGGTGAAAGACTGAAAAGTAAGATATAGGCTATAGCCAACAACATTTAACATCTGATAGCTTCTTTTTTCTATACTATGGAAGTCAATGGGGACCAGCAACTGTTTGGTCACACACATTCTTCAAAGCATCTTTTTTTTTTTTTTGTCTGTCTTCAGCAGAAGAAATAAATTCATCCAGGTTTGGAACAACTTGAGGGTGAGTAAATGATCCCCAACCCCTTTTATTGGTGAACTATCCCATTGAAGACTTATTTGTATCAGAGAAAATATAACTTAACTTGAACAGATTTTTTTTCTTGTGAGAAAAGAGAGGTCCTGCTCGTGCTTGGATATAATACATTTAATAAATAACATAATTTGTTGTGCATGTTTGTTTTTACCTTATCATCGAACTTAACACAACGCTTCTAAAACCTCTCTAAAATGTATCTTGAGAGACTTTACAAGTAAATCTGTTGTTACTACACGTAAATGTGTTCGAAAATTTGTGTTGGATATTCGTAACAAGATACCACAACATTTGAAATGAACAAATGTTCATAAGCATTGTTAAGTCTTATAAAAACATATAATGATACTTGTTATTGTCTATCCAAATAGTTATAGTCATTCGCAGTGCATCTTACCTGAAGGTAGTGGGAAGAAAAACTTTCAGTCGGAGTTCTGTATGATGGAAAATTGATCATGCCAGTGTTTAATTAAAATATAAGTAGGATAATTTAGTTTGTGTCAAAGGCTATCCTACAAACATTATTAGTAAAACTCTTAAAGCAACATAAGTGTCCACAGTCAAGTTTATTTACTGAACAAACAACATTCAACATACAGGTTCTTTAGCCAAATCACCAGAACCATAATTGATGAACTGGCTCAAAATCACAGCAGGAAGTTCCCCAAGAACAGGGCCATGTAATAAAACACTGAAGATACAGAAACACTGATACGGTATATTATAAGCATAATTTTCAAATGTCCAAAATAAACTGAGCACACTGTGTGTCTTAACACTGTAATACAAATTAATTTGTTCTTTCCCAAGACAAGTCACAAGTCTAGACAGGATGGTGCTTGGTTTTGTTGGCAGCTGTGAAAAGATGGATTAGCTCTTTCTCAAGTCTGAGCAGGATAAGTGCTGACAGTGCCACAAGGAATGTTATGATATTTCCTGACAAAATGTGGCTTTGTCCTGATATCTGTCTGTAACGGCCTCAGGGATGTGATTAAATTATTCAGTTAAAACAGATAAAACATTGACATCCAGTCAAAGAAAAATGACCAAATAATGGTTATTATAGATATGTAAAAGCAAATAAAAATACATATCAGGGTCCAGCAACAAAAAGCTTAACACTTGCTATATACAACAATTACTCTATCAATGCTTCTCATACTTAATGCACATTAATTCAATGCAGTCACAAGCTTTTTCACTGTTTTTATCCAAATGGCATGAAAGTCATGATCATGCTATACCAAGTTTTGGTTATATAATTACTTTGTTCATGATCTTAGAGTGCATCATATGGAATAGCCGTATCAGAGATCTGTCGTACGTACATCTACTGCAGTCTGTTGGATTGTCAGATCATCATTTGAGTGCATAATGTTTTCTGCTCCATCAGATTGCTGTAAGAATATGGAGAAACAATCAAAAAAAGAAAAACACAAAGGAGCAGTGTTGATGAGAGCTACACACTGTGAAAACTAAAGGAGGTGGAAGGAATAATTGGAGAATAAAGTCAAATATAGAATAAGAGTCAAATGTTCATCTGCAAACATTACTTTGAGTTTTACTTTTAACTTCACTTTTCACAAAAGTGATGATCATTCTATAAAACGACATCTCCTTTCCTCACTCCAACCATTATGCAGTGAATCTACTCAAGAGATTTTGGTCTTGATTCATTTACTTCATTAGTGAAAAAAAGTCTAATTAAAGAGATCACCAAGATGAAGTTCATAGTGTTCAGAACACCCCAGAAAGTATGCAATTTGAAATTAAGATGATATCAAGAAACTAAATAGTAAAAGTTTTCACACCATTCTTTTGGTAAGCAAGGTAATCATATCACCACTTATTGGTGCACACTCAAAATTGCCATTCCACATATGGTCTCATATGTAATTGTCATGTTTTGCTGCAGGAGAGCAATTGCAAGTAAATGTCATTTGCAGGAATGTAATATGACTATTGTACAAAGTAACGATTATCTTCATTAACACTGTGAAAGTGAGAAGCAGGCACAATGGCAATACAATCAATGATAGCTGGGTACAATATGAGAAACACGACTAAACATGCGTCATCATTTTCAAATTCCTCCATTTTCACAGTCCACACTATATAGCTATAAATTCAAACTACAAAAATGTATGTGAATCTCAAATGGAGGCAAGAAGAAAAATCATTTTGAACTTGACATTATTTTACACCAAGAACAGTTTCAGTACTAACCTCATCTTGCTTGTTTTAAGTAGAAACAGATAATCACACCTAGTGCAGTCATGACCAAAACCACTGGAATAAGTGTTAGCAGCAGTACAGTATGTGAACGTTGGTAGAGTTCTGTAAGGGACAAAGACAATTTTGAAATGAACATATCTGGGTCCAAGTGTAAACCACAGGTGTTTTTATGTAACAGTCACAGAAAAGACAGTACGTGGAAATTTATTTAAAGTTTGTTGTATCTGAAATGTGATGTTCATGCTTCTTAATGACTTTTATTTATAATCATTGCAATGTAAGTGAAGGCAATTCACACAAAATTAAACACATCGCCAGTAAAAAGAGAGTGTAAAATCACAGCTGACGCACCTGCACATGTGTGACAGAGTTGAGTGATGTCCAAAAGTTTGGTTTGGTTGCTGATGGGATTGTTGAGCACACAGCTGTAGGTGTTGTTATCCTGATATTCCACCTCCAGAGGTAGAGAGAGACTGATGCTGAGATCAGACACACTGATGCTGGACAATAAACTGTTTCCTTTGTACTAGGAGAGAGTCACATGACCCACATTCACCACTGAACACACCAGTGAACAATTCTGCTGTGATGATGATGATGCACAATCTCTGCTGACGACAGGAACAGGCAAAGAACCTGAAAAACAAACACATAGCTATATTAAAAAAATAAATACAACAATAATTCAGATGACCGCTGTCTGATTTATAACTTGCTTACCGTAGACAGTAGCACCAAAACTGAACAATTCTGCTCTGATGATGATGATGCACAATCTCTGCTGACGACAGGAACAGGCAAAGAACCTGAAAAACAAACACATAGCTATATTAAAAAAATAAATACAACAATAATTCAGATGACTGCTGTCTGATTTATAACTTGCTTACCGTAGACAGTAGCACCAAAACATTTGAATGCTTCCAAGTCTCCGCTTCTGATGTTTCTAAATTCGTAATGTCCAGTGTCTTTTGTGCTGCTATTCCTGATTTTGAGAGTTCCAGTCTGACGATCAAGCTTAAATCTCTCTCTGAATCTCTCATCATCACATGGTATCGTTTTCTCAACACTGATTTTAGCTATACATAGATTTTCATTTTCAAACCTCCACTGTATCACATCATCTACCTGTAGTTTAGTAGAAGCGGAGTAAAAAGTCACAGAATCTCCCTCCATCACTGAAACTTTATCAGTAAATCTCGGACCTGCAGAACACAATTCCCAGTCGAACCTGTTATGACAATTTTGTGCAAGTCCTTTACTTTATTGGAATGATTTGTTAATGTTCAGTTGTGAAGTCACTCTACTCACATGTTTCGGATAAGATTTGTGTAGATACCACCAGGGTCAAGATGATAATACTATAACCTACAATGTTCAAAAGACAGTGTTTAATTCGACACCACTGGAGAGCATTTCTACAGTGAACGATTACAACATCGTTAGGTTTAATTACGAAATCTTATCACGAGTTGTAAAGTATTGTAAAGTCAAAACAAAAACATAGCACTCACCTTGCACACGCAAAATGAACAAAGCACGAGAGAAAAACATATTCTGCATCAACAAGTGTCTTCAAAAATCATATTTAATCACAAGAGTCCCCAGCGGAAAGAGTGAAGAGATCCAGCTACTCGCCCATCTCAATCACGTGATACGCCTCGTTGCTTGAATTTGCTTCGAAAACTCCACAGAGGTGTCAGAACAGTGCTGCGTTCAGCCCCGACAAAACGGTGCAAAACGTTGTTTAAACGGAAACGGTGGTGCGTTGAACGCCCTGTTCTGATTATGCAAGAGTTGCAACTATGGCAGCTGAGAAAGCCATTCTTTGTGCTCTTTTTGAAGAATTTTCGGAGCCTGATGAAATCAGTACAAATGTGTGTTTAATAGGGGAGAGCGGGGCACAAAGTATCTCTCGGCCACCGTAGTTATGACAATTTTGTGCAAGTCCTTTACTTTATTGGAATGATTTGTTAATGTTCAGTTGTGAAGTCACTCTACTCACATGTTTCGGATAAGATTTGTGTAGATACTACCAGGGTCAAGATGATAATACTATAACCTACAATGTTCAAAAGACAGTGTTTAATTCGACACCACTGGAGAGCATTTCTACAGTGAACGATTACAACATCGTTAGGTTTAATTACGAAATCTTATCACGAGTTGTAAAGTATTGTAAAGTCAAAACAAAAACATAGCACTCACCTTGCACACGCAAAATGAACAAAGCACGAGAGAAAAACATATTCTGCATCAACAAGTGTCTTCAAAAATCATATTTAATCACAAGAGTCCCCAGCGGAAAGAGTGAAGAGATCCAGCTACTCGCCCATCTCAATCACGTGATACGCCTCGTTGCTTGAATTTGCTTCGAAAACTCCACAGAGGTGTCAGAACAGTGCTGCGTTCAGCCCCGACAAAACGGTGCAAAACGTTGTTTAAACGGAAACGGTGGTGCGTTGAACGCCCTGTTCTGATTATGCAAGAGTTGCAACTATGGCAGCTGAGAAAGCCATTCTTTGTGCTCTTTTTGAAGAATTTTCGGAGCCTGATGAAATCAGTACAAATGTGTGTTTAATAGGGGAGAGCGGGGCACAAAGTAACACTTTTTGACTTTCTCAAATTGTGTAAATCCACATGGGATTCAGAGTATAATTTTTTTATCCACAGTAATTTCACACTTGTCTAGTACAAATATGTTGCTTTATTTCATAATTACAATGTATATGTTTTTCTTTATTTACCCTCAAAAATTGGAAGTGTGACAACATGCCCGTAGGTGGGGTACATTGTAACATCTGAGGGGCACATTGTAACATGACCGTATGACAGCTTAAAATGTTATCTGATCGCATGAAAAAAATATACAAGACAAACTAAAATATTTTGATAAAATAATTATTTATTTCAAATAAAATAATGACTTTTACTTGTCTTGAAATAATAATTTCTTAACACTAAACATTGACTGTCAGTATTTATTCACCTGTTTCTCGTCGTTTATCATTCAAATGTATTAAAGCAAATAGTGTGAATTACATCGCTAATGTCGTAGAATAGCACATTGTAACGCAGTGTTACAACGTGCCCCATCTGCGCAACTGGAATTTAAAACCGGTTACTGTCTTATGATAGTTAGTGTGATTTAACATGTTAGGTTTCACCTAAGCAGGTGTTTAGTGTTTTCATGTCTGTATGATCAGAAGTCCAATGACCTATCAGGTCTTTACTGTACAGCTCAAAACTTATTGTAAAAAAATTCCACTAAAGGCGAGTTTAAAGAACCCACATGCAGTTTAATAAAGCAAAGACTAATACAAACTAAGCAAAACAAGATGATGACTTGAATAGAACTATACTTGAAAACTTCCCAAACAACAGATACATCAAAGAAAACTAGACAAGAGACAATGGGAGCATGAAGGCTATATATTAAAAAACTGTGACATTTCTCAAAGTATCTTGTTTTATTGTTCCACAGGAGAAAGTCATACAGGTTTGGGATGACATGAAGGTAAACTATCCCTTTAAGTGAGAGTAGACTGCTAACAGTATATTAAAACAGATTTAAATAACCAGTCAAATACATACAAACAGCATCAGATCCAATTAATACAACTTTATTTTTGCTTAAATGAAACCTGTTACACTGAGATATACAAATGACAAACATTTTAACTGATATTTAACACGAGACATAGCTCTGTTAAACTGTTATTTAGTAAAGAGTTCTGGAGTATCTGGGTTTGGTGTTTATCATATGCACAATGATGATGAAGTCATGTTTCAATACTTTCTGCAGCTTCTAGGTGGTTTTACTAGCTGGTTGCTTTCAGTAGGTCTGCTAGGTGAATACCGTAAGTCTGATCACTCAAGCAATAATAGCAAACCTCTCCTAATTTGAGTCATCATTCATGTCTGGAGCAACATTTGTAACTGTAACAGTAAATACATATAGTTATAGTGATGCTTGCCTTAAAGGGATAGTTCACCCAAAAATGAAAATTAGATGTTTATCTGCTTACCCACAGGGCATCCAAGATGTAGGTGACTTTGTTTCTTCAGTAGAACACAAACGGAGATTTTTAAGTCAAACCGTTGCAGTCTGTCAGTCCTATAATGTCAGTGGATGGGAATCACGGCTGCTATTACCATTATGAGATGTGAACGCACATAATGCACAGATTCTGTAATGCACAGAAAATAGTTATCTAATAGTTTAAAGTTTTAAATAAATATGATTATTGAAAAGTGATTTAACATGTTAGGTTTCACCTAAGCAGGTGTTTAGTGTTTTCATGTCTGTATGATCAGAAGTCCAATGACCTATCAGGTCTTTACTGTACAGCTCAAAACTTATTGTAAAAAAATTCCACTAAAGGCGAGTTTAAAGAACCCACATGCCGTTTAATAAAGCAAAGACTAATACAAACTAAGCAAAACAAGATGATGACTTGAATAGAACTATACTTGAAAACTTCCCAAACAACAGATACATCAAAGAAAACTAGACACGAGACAATGGGAGCATGAAGGCTATATATTAAAAAACTGTGACATTTCTCAAAGTATCTTGTTTTATTGTTCCACAGGAGAAAGTCATACAGGTTTGGGATGACATGAAGGTAAACTATCCCTTTAAGTGAGAGTAGACTGCTAACAGTATATTAAAACAGATTTAAATAACCAGTCAAATACATACAAACAGCATCAGATCCAATTAATACAACTTTATTTTTGCTTAAATGAAACCTGTTACACTGAGATATACAAATGACAAACATTTTAACTGATATTTAACATGAGACATAGTACTAACTGTTATTTAGTAAAGAGTTCTGGAGTATCTGGGTTTGGTGTTTATCATATGCACAATGATGATGAAGTCATGTTTCAATACTTTCTGCAGCTTCTAGGTGGTTTTACTAGCTGGTTGCTTTCAGTAGGTCTGCTAGGTGAATACCATAAGTCTGATCACTCAAGCAATAATAGCAAACCTCTCCTAATTTGAGTCATCATTCATGTCTGGAGCACAATTTGTAACTGTAACAGTAAATACATATAGTTATAGTGATGCTTGCCTTAAAGGGATAGTTCACCCAAAAATGAAAATTAGATGTTTATCTGCTTACCCACAGGGCATCCAAGGTGTAGGTGACTTTGTATCTTCAGTAGAACACAAACGGAGATTTTTAAGTCAAACCGTTGCAGTCTGTCAGTCCTATAATGTCAGTGGATGGGAATCACGGCCACCGCTACCTATCTCTCAAATGGACCATTGACACTCTATCTACGATCTCAATTGGGAGTGTCAATGGTCCATTTGAGAGATAGGTGGCGGTAATGCACTTACAAGTCTGCGATCCGCCGTAAAGCAAGAAGCAGAAGATGACATTTGGTTTTGTTTGTGTATGTTTTATGACTCTCAAAGCCGTGATTCCCATCCACTGACATTATAGGACTGACAGACTGCAACGGTTTGAGTTAAAAATCTCCGTTTGTGTTCTACTGAAGAAACAAAGTCACCTACATCTTGATTGCCCTGGGGGTAAGCAGATAAACATCAAATTTTCATTTTTGAGTGAACTATCCCTTTAAACAGACCGAGTTGTCTGGTTCCTGAATACTGAACGCAGCAAAAAGTTCCTGGTCCTCAGGAAAATCTGCATCAAACATGTACAAGAGTTCAGGCTCTGGGCTCAACCTATAGAAGAAAATCGAACCAGCCTCCTGGTCCAGGAACACACCGACTTTTCTGGTGGACTCTGTTTGAAGTGGTTTAGTTAGTGATTCAGTTTTTTTGTCATGAGCCACAAATACATTTTTTGAGCAACATAAACACCACGACATCTTATTGCGTCCTAGACATACGGTGTCATTCGCACCCTTCCTCTTGATTCCCTTACATGCCACACCCATGAGCACACCTGTTCCGATCACATCCACCGTAAAGAAGCAGCGTCCTGACAACGGCTGGCAACACAGGACCTGGTTGCACTTGTCAAATCTTTCGTCATTAGCAGGAAGCTGTTGCTTCTCCCTCTTACAAACAGCTACTGTGTTGTTCTCGTTCAGATAGAGGTATTCGTTAGCCGTCTGAGGGTCAAAGGTGAGCGTGACAGCATCTAAAAACAAAGTGAGATTCATCAGAAAATGCCAGCTTAAATATCTACAATTAGCATATTGTGTGTAGATGACGTAAAATACTTTAGGGAAGTCACATGCCATATTCCATCTAAAGCTACTTTTTGGTAGTTCTTTAGATGTTTTTATGAACTCATGTAAATTAGAGACATTTTTGCACTTCTATAAATCCATCTGACACACCACAAGACCTTTTAAAATGAAATGGGAAAAGGTGTTAAAATGGTGAAGTAGTTACAGCAACTACAAACAGACATTCATCTACATTTTAACCTACAATCTTTGTGATGATCCATGATTAAACTCACATTGGTACAGTCCTGGTTGGTGACTGCAGACTCCTCCAGTGTAAATTCTAGTTAGAGTTAGAGTTAGTATCGGTTAATATGTTAAGACTAGTATCACACCATTGCACATTTATTGAAGCACAATTTAAACATGAATAGATAGTCTCTCGTTTCACCTTTACATTAGTCACTACAGTGCTTGTATATTAAAGTAGCCTAAAGGAAGTATACTTGAACACAACAGTGAACAATTCACTGAATGGCTAGGAAGAATCAAAGTCCTCACTACAAGTTTCATAGGATCCCGTGGATGTTCATTCCAACCTTCCACATGAACCAATAGCAGATAAAAGCTACATTACCTCAGTGAGGGTTGCTTATACTTCCGTAGACAAACTTTCTTTTCCATGATGTTTCCAAGGTCATTATACTGCAGGTCCAGCTCTCTCAGATTGGCTTTCAAAGATGACAGTAACTTCAAAGCTCCTTCTTTAATATGACAGCCTGAAAGTCTATAAAGCCAAATCAGAATTTTGTTTCAATCAGCTGGCCAAGGAATGACATTCATGACATTCGCCTGTTTGCCCATTTCAGGGACTAAGCAGCATAGCTGGTTGGTTTCTGTACATATTATATTTACACTTATATTTGCATTCAAGCTATACATTTTTTAAAGTTTGAGTTAAAACAGGAAGTCCCCCTGAGATTTTAAGTTAAATATTTTCGTTATCTAAAAACACATTCGCATATTCATGGCTCTCTGATATCAGTTAATGCATTAATGGTCACATATGACATGCAGCTAAAAAGATTAAATATTTCATTTTTGTTAATTATTTATATTTTTAAATTATTTATTAATTACATTTTTGTGAATGTATTGTTAATTTTTCGACAGTTTCCTTGTTTTATTTTATTATTATTTATTTATTTGCAGATACAATAAATTACTACTAATAACATGAAAATACCAGTCAAACATCAAACCAAAAATTACATCTCATGATTTTTAAACAAAGAGTCACACTATAAAATCAACATTACGTGCGTCAAAAACAAACACTCTATTCAAACTTAACATATTCTTAACCCCTTACAACATCTATTTAACCCATCTGTCTGGACCCTGATGTTTGCAGTTAGTTTCACTTACTTCAGAACTTCAAGATGACAGTTAACGCTCTGCAGCCCAGCTGAGATCATTTTCACTCCTTCATCTTCAAGTTGATTGTCACTGAGGTCCAGGATTTTCAGATTCACATTTGATCCTGAAAGCACATCCTTGATGAGCTCCATGTCCTGACTATGGAGGTCATTGTGGCTGAGATTCAGCATCTGAATCTGGCATTTGGGATCACAGAAGGCCCTAGACAGTTGCTTCAGTGCAGACAGTCCCAGACTATTGTGGCTCAGATCAAGATGAGTCAGGTGAGAGTTTGGTGAGGTCAGTAAAGGCACCAGGATGTCACAGTGTTTCTCTGTAAAGCCGCTTCCTTTGAGCCTGCAAGTATTGCATTTGAACTCTGTTATGATTTCACATGTAAACTCTGACTGAGAATATTTTATGATACACTATGAAGATGTTTACAGAAGTTTTCATAATACTTACATAGCCTTTCTGAAGCGTGTGATGGCTGGAGAGAATCTCTGAAATCCTTCTAAAGTGATGTTGAATTTCCTGAAGAAAAACTCATCATGGTCTGTATCTGACATCACAAACCGGAAAGCCAGAAGCGTGCACTGGAACAGTGTGAGGGGCTTTGTGGTCCGTGAGCATTCGAGATCTGGCATCTGCAAAAAAGAACTGTCCTTGAGCTCCACGATGCAACGAACAAGACCAAAGCATCTCTCAGGGGACAGATCTTTCCTCCTCAAAGACTTAATGTACTTGGTCACTTTTTTGTGATCTTCTAAACTACTGTCGTCCAATCGAGGCAGGAGTCCTTCGAGTATACATCTGCTGGAATCACACGAAATTCCAAAGAGAAAACAGTTAAAAAGATCCAAGTGTTCATTTTTGCTTTCCACGGCCACATCAATCACGCTTTTGAGAAAATCCGACAAATTAGACTTTTGCCCCATTTTTGCTTTAGTTAATGCCAGGGAGTCTTGGTTTCCTGATAGAAATTCATGAAAAACAAACAAGGCTGCAAAGAATTCCTGGACACTGAGATGGACAAAGCTGAAATGTTTAGTCCTGTTATATCCAGACTTGCACTCAGAGACACAGGTAATGATGCCTGGATATCGAAGAGCTTCATCAGGAGTGATATAATATTTCCTCAAGTCTTCTTTACTGAAGATGGCATTCTGTTCCTTCAGCTTCCAGTAGGCCAACTCTGCCAGTTTCTTAATCAGTTCTTTGTGCTGTATGAGAGCATCTTCTTGTGACACATTTTCCCCTTGATATTTGTTGTGGCTTAACCCAGTCTGAATGAGCAGATAGTGGATATACATTTCTGTCTGATTTGAGGGCATTTCACTATCTTTATTTTGACTTTTAATGATGGTTTTTAGAACAACCGATGAAATCCAACAAAAGAGGGGTATGTGGCACAATATCCACAGGCTCTTATGAGACCTCAGGTGACAGATGACTTTTTGGGTTAGATCTGGATCCTCAAACTGCCTCGTGAAGTACTCATCCTTCTGTTCGTCTATGAATCCTCTGATCTGTGTGACATATCCCTGTCTGAAGATCTCAGATGGAAGCTGTTCAGCTGCCACAGGCCGGCTGGTGATCCACAGGTGTGCGGATGGAAGCAGTTTTCCTCTTAGAAGGTTTGCTACGAGGACATCCAGTGTGGCTTTTTTTGTAAGATCTGACAAAATGCTGGTTTGAAAGCTCAATTCATTTTTATATTCATCTAGACCATCTAAGATGAACAGAACTTTTCTATCACAGATCCAGTCAGAGATCGGTCTTGCCTCTTTGAACTCAGGGTAAAAGTCACAAAGCAGGTCAAAAAAGCTCTTTTTTCCCTCAAGCAAGTTTAGCTCTCGGAATGGGAGCAGAAAAACAAGCTCTAGATCCTGATTGGCTTTTCCGCTTGCCCAGTCGTGGACAAACTTCTGCACAGTGACCGTTTTCCCAATTCCAGCAATTCCTTTTGTTAAAACAGTCTTCATGGTTGTATTTTCATCCAATGGTGGTTTAAGAATTTCATTGTAGTTTATGATTGTCTGTGCTGATGTGTTTAAATCATTCGTCGTCTCTATCTGCCAGATCTCGTGTTCTCTATTGATGGGGTCTGACTCGTCATTGATGATGAACAGTTGTGTGTAGATCTTATTTAGAGAGACTGACTGTTGTGCACTTCCCTCCAAAATCCTCTCAGAGTCCTTCATCATCCTTGTTTTCAACTTATTCTTTACACTCTGAAGAGTTTCTAAAAATCAGGACAAATCATGTGATAAACAGAAGTATTGCACTTATGAATGAACCGTTTTATTGGAGCAAGAGTCTTACCATTGTTGTTTATTGAGGTAAAGTGAGACACCTGTGTCTGAAAAAAAACATACACATCAATATAAACAGTATATATAATAATATACACATAAGCCATATCTTAAATGAGCAACTCCGTAAAATGTACAATATTACAGTATTTTAATGATCAAACACTCACCATATATACATCACCAGCTATTATGGATCCTAGTAAGTTTGGAGCAAGTACTGTGCCACCATTCTTCTGGTCAATTCTGAAGTCCTGAAGATACTGGTTTGAATTTTGAATTGATGGTTGTCTGGGTGATGTAGAACTATTAATATTATTATGTTGTGGAATGTCGTTATGCTGTTGAAGTGTCATGTTTCCAAACTGTGTTTCAATGCTGTTACCATCTGTTGCAAAAATAAATACATAATCAAAACAGTGCAAATGTTGCAGTTAAGATTATTAAAGATTGAGCATTTTCTAATAACAAAGAAAATGTGAAATATTTTCCTACTTTCGATATGACTGTTTTTCCATTCCATATTCATTCTCTTTCAGAGGGTCTTCCAACCTCCCAGTTGTTCCGCTGTGTTAGGATAAACGGTTTATGATTAATTTTTATGTTTTAGAATGAATGTTTACATTTGCAAGCAAATATATAGGCCTACATTAGTTTGAGATCTTTTAATGTTTTTGAAACTTTTGCTTTTTTAAAGGAGTCTTTTATGCTCACCAAGGCTACATTTAGTCTATTTGATCAAAAATACAGATATAAATGGAAACTCATACATTTTTTCTGGATTCTTTGATGTATAGAAAATTCTAAATTTACTTTAAACAGAAATCTTTTGTAATATTATAAATTAAATACATCCTAGCTGAATACACGTATTCATTCTCACTTACCCCAAACTTTTGAATGGTGCATCACAAAAATATTAAGCAGCAAAAATGTTTAATAATAATAAATGTTAGTTGAACGCCAAATCAGAATAATCTAATGTTTGGTAACATGTTCGTTGACCAAACACAACATATTTGGGTTTTTCGGAAGGGAAGGATGGGCCTGAACTGAGCGCTACAATTTGACAAACTGGGAACGGGTGCTACAACAATGTTCGATATGTAAAAAAGAGCCCGGTCTCATGAAAATGCGTATAAATAATACGCCAAATAAAAACGAAAACTCGTGGTACTGATACGCAAAAATGGACTTTGGCGTGCATATAATACGCAGTTTTCGCGTGCATATGATACGCATCTACCCCACAACCCTAAACCTACCCATCGCGTAGCATATACACGCCAAAGTCCATTTTTGATGATCAATACCACGAGTTTTCGTTTTCATTTGGCGTACTATTTATACGCACTTTCATGAGATCGGGTTGGTAAAAAACGATGTGTGAATAATGAAAACCTAGTATACCCCAAAAACCAAAACAAGACTCTGTAAAAGGGCATAATATCTTGCATCCTTAATAAAAATTTAAGCTGAAAATGAATAAAATCTCCTTGAAACCAACTAACTAAATAAGAAAGAACCAAGTTAACAATTTTTGGTTCCCAAGAACGTTCCCTGTTGGTTAGCCAGGAAAGTTTTCTTGAACGTTCCTATAAGGTTCCCATAAAGTTCTCTGAAGGTTCCCATAAAGTTCTTCTAACCTCTTTACTCTGATATACCCTGCTGTAATCATCCAGCACTCCCGCGTCCCATATAAGCGGCATGGAAGACGGACTGATGGACCTTAATAATCAATACTACGAACCATGTCTTGTTTTAAACTATTGTTTAATCAATAAAGATATCAAATATCAATATCAAGACATCAAAGCACATTTAATCATAAGGAGCATTAAATGAGTTTATCAAGTAATAGGCTATGTAAGATTCCAACTTGTATCACATAATAACCCAGATTTTACGTTTCTTAAGCACCAAATAACAAAGACTTCGACACAATATTGGGTTTTAAAAATGTGAATTTTATTTTAACAGACATTAAAAATGAATAACATTTATTTGACTTTAACTAGGATAACATTATATTAATTTCTTACCACTGAATTAGTGATGATGTGCTTCTCTTTTTTGGTCAGTATAGGGCCTAAACAAAAACTTCTCGGTTAACATCATCTTCAGTTAGAAGTGTCAAATCTCTCTGAAATCACAATATTTTGTTATCTCGTATAAATATTAATTCTAAGTAATTATTCAATAAAGAGATCAATAAACGAATGTTAGTCAGTCAGTCAGTAAAACGAAATACCCGATTAAGCGCTTGCGCGGCTTTCACTGTTGCCAACTCTCGCAAGATAAATAAGCAACCGCAGCTTAAAAAACAAGCCCAAAACAAGCCCAATATTTTTTTTGATGATTTATTATCATCAATATTATTTATCATCAACTATTTATTACAAATAAATGAACCTGCAACATATTAAACTGAAACCACTCTTTTATCTGAAGAGTAAAAACAAATATGTTATTTTACAAAAATCAGCAAACTACAACAAAGTGAGAACAAAAACGTCTAGGGTTACTTATGTAACCATGGTTCCCTGAGTAGGGAACGAGACACTGCGTCCTCTAGGGGTCGCTATGGGGAATGCCTCGTCGTGACCCGTGTCTGAAAAAACACCAACTTGTTGGCCGTCGACAGCCATGACGTCACTACCGGTGCAACTATAGTATAAATAGGTGCCGGGAGCTACACATCATTCACTTCTTCGTCTGAAGCTTGCGTCCGCAGCATGGCAAGAAACCTAGAGGACGCAGTGTCTCGTTCCCTACTATTAGGGTATAAATACTGAGTTAAAGTGTTCCTTCTTTTGTCGCAATCTACAGCCAACCCTGAATGACTGTATGAATGACCTTTCCTGCAAGAAAATAAATCTTCAAAAGACTTTTTGTCTCATATACCTTTATCGAAATGGAAAATCGCCACAACACTAAATAAATAAAATAGATTATACATCTCTTGTTATGCTATGTTATTATTATATATGGTTACATATCTCTAATTATGCTATAAATATTGGATTTGGATGCAGAGTATAAAGCTTTAAAATATTCTCACAATTAAAGCTAATTTAAAGTGTTTAGAGAAAACGGACAGAAATAGTTATTTGTTTATTTTTTTACATTTTAAATGTTCCTCTTATTCAGTTTTTTGTTGCATGTGTTAGTCACATTTTTTTTATATGTTGCAGAGTTCATTTTCATCAGTGTTTTTACAATTTCTAATTAAGATATAGGATCATTTTTTGATAAATCAGAGATGGCCTACTTTACCCCAAAAAGCATTTATCTGGAGTGCATAATCTCAAAATGTTTATTGGTGTATGAAAAACATCTGGGTATCATCAATATGCCTCTCTCTGGGTTGCACTGGGGAAAAAAAAGAAGTAGAAATAATTTTTACTGAACAATTACTAGTAACTTTCACAAATAATTACAAAGAAATGACAAGTAACACACCAATTCATGGAATTTTGAAGTATAAAGATTGAAATAGTATTTTCTTGTAATGCATACTACAATAATCTTTGTTGCTAAACTAATTTTTACAGTGTGTGTTTCTTTCTGTAACTAAGCAAACAATAAAAATAATGTGTTTTACTTTATCAGCTAACACATTTTATCATTACGCAGTCCCACAGTCACATCCTGTAAACTATTTGTGGAGCTATGACCTACTTTCACTATTAACAAGCGCAGAATGGTTTTGGTATGTGCTTTTGAGAAAACAGTTGAGATCAAGGATCAACTCAGGTATTGTTCTTTATTAATAAAGTATCTAAAACCTACTGGACCTTATTCATTCTTTCTGAGCAAGACATGGTCAATTTTAGTCAATAACATAAAATTATGAAACTTCAATAATCTTCATCAGCACATTGCTAATTTTCCTCCTGTATGGAATATATTCTGGTTTAATATTCCATTAGATGTCACTTCAGTCAAAAGCCTGACAAAAAGAAACAGCCGTTATAGGGAGTACTTCCTTATGTTCTGAATTAGCCCTATTAGAAGGTAATTAACTTAACACAGCTCTCATAGTATAAAAGTGACCAAATGGCATGCCTTAGCAGCCTATAGGAGCCCAATCCTCTCAAACAGTCCTGTTACCCATATATTGGACATGCAGCAGTTGCGAACCACTAGTGCAGTGAGAGACTGAACACAATAACAAACTTTCAGTGCTTGAAGTGCAGTTAAATGTTAAATTATATCCAAAATGTTTCATAAATAAATAAAAATAAAAATAGTAGCCTTAAAGTGTTTTAAATCAAGTACACATTACTTCAAAAAAAAAAAAGCAGTAGCGCAAGTAAACAGTTAATAAGAAAATGAAAAAACTAAATAAAGCAAATGACAAAACCAGAACCAAGGGTACTTGGAGTGGTTTTCAAACAAGCATTTTGCATTTTTGACTGCTCCGTTGCACTCACACAACAGCAAACTGCCCAAATACATGTGAATTTTTAAAAACAGCTCTACATGGTACTGCATACCAATTTACATGTGTTTGTTACCTGATAAACTATACCAAGAAATGCCTCTGGCTTGCCTTCTTTGTGCATCCTGCTGCCATCTCGTCCACAGGTAAACGACCCAAGTAACCGGCTCCCAATCAATGCACCCGATTCAACTCATCTCATTGAGATTCCAAAAGCTAAAATGAGTGCGTCAGACAAAAGAGACATGCACCAGTAATGTGGTCGGGAACCACTGTACTAGAAAACTACTACTATTCCTGCCAGGGATGTGCAAGTTCTTCAAGGGCAGGGTTTAAAAAAAAAAAAAAAGGCATCAGGGGCAAAAACACATTCACACACTGTTGCTGCATAATTATCAAAAGTGGCAGTGTAATGAAGTCCTTTCACATCACCACCATTTTGCGTGTTCTTGAACAAACTACTTTCACTTCACATAAAAGGCCTCTAGGTGGGCTCCATTTGACCAACTATTTTTTATTTTTTTGCTTTATTAATTCAATGCCACAAGAACATGAGGTATTACATATTCACATGATCAAATTAACATTATTAGCTGCAAGAGGGAAAAAAAAGAAGAAAAAAAAGGAAGAAAATTACATAAAGTTCAATGCTTTCAGAGCATTACATGTTTTCAGTGCTTTTTTGTTTTTTGTTTGTTCTAAGAGATGAAACCTAAATAGATAACTGCGTCTGGGGGGAAATAACTAAATAAATAAAATGAATGTTAATATTTGTATTCTTTTTTTTTTTTTTTATTAAAATAATTATATGTTTTTTATTATATGTTTTTTTTCTTTGGAGCAGGAAACAGAAAACCTGAAGTGGAGCTACGTACAGTACAGTGTAATAATTATAGCTTTTTTTGTATTCAGTGCCTTTATTTATTTATTTTTTATACTGACCTCCCATCTAATACCTATGAAAAAAAGTATTCAGCTGTTGCTTTCACGCCACAAACATGTATAAACTACATGTCACAACAGCAAACACGCTGCTCATGTGTGAACAGCAAAATGCTGTTACTCATTTCACATTTGAAGAGTTTAAGTTTAAAGGCATAATGGTAAAAAAACATACTTTTAAATAAAAAAGGTAGCGTGCAGGGTTCTGAAAATATTTGTAAAAATAATAATAAAAAAATCAACAACTTAGAATTCTATGTCTATCAAAGCGGAGAGGAGAGACATTTGAAACTGCTTGAAGCGAGCAGTGTTGCCAACTAGATTTAGCAACTTTTCAGACTACCCTAGCAGCTTTTTTCTTCAAAAAGCACTTCTAGATACACATTCTACTGCTTACACATGCTCTTTTAAATGTCAAATCCTGTTGCGTTCATGAATAACCTTGCAATAATAAATATCATTGCAAGAATGTTGATTGAGCTCTTATACAAAATGCATTTAATGTACTTTTTAAATGCACTACATTATTATTAGGCTATACAGGCTTTATAAAACACATTCCCAGTAAACCTACAGTATTTTTAAAAAAAGAATCCGTAATATTTTTACAAAGTAATACTTAATAAATACTGAGGCTCTCAAATTAACATTGTTTGTGATTTTGATATGTTTTTTGATATGTACGCATTTCTTTTATTGAGAAAGAGGGTGATGGGATTGAGAAACGATTCCTGCATGTGTTACATGCTGAAGCATGCATCCTCTGATGTTTTTGTTTTTAAATTAAGTTTTTAGATGGTGACTATTAAGCCAAAGGTGTTCAGTGGCGTTAGAAACTAAATCCTTTATTCAAAGATGAACTCTAATATTTTCTCTGTGTTGTTCTCTCCACTGTGAATTTATTAGCCCTTTATGTAGCTCATCAAAAAAAAATTTTTTTTTTGCAGCAGATACTTTTCACAAATGATCTAACATCAATTTTCATATAACAGTTACAGCACACACTGCTGTGTACTGTAGGGGGCGGCATTTAACTTCCTTTACATTAGTTCAGGGCTGTCCAAACCTGTTCTTGGAGGGCCTGTCCTGCAGAGTTTAGCATCAACCCTAATTAAACACAACTGAAGAATCTAATCAAGGTTTTCAGATTTAGAAACTTTCAGGCAACTGTTTTAGAACCGGTTGAAGCTGAACTTTGCAGGACAGTGTAACCTACTGCATTAGTTCAAATATCAATCGGGAAGAGAAGAGCACTTCATTCATATGTAAAATTAAGTGCTAATCTATGCAGTGCACACAGCGACTAAAATGATGTGTTATTATTGAAATGTAATATGTTAGTTTTGAGTTGTGTGAATCTCACAAGCTAATGGAGCTCACACCTTCTAGAATTACGAAAAGTACCTTTCTCATGGCACATTCTTTAAAGTTTCTTTAGGCAATTTTCTGAAAGGCTACATTGATATGAGACGGCACCCATCGCTATACATTGCAATCACAATGAGTTATTTTGTTTGAATGGCATTTAAAGTCACATTGTTTTCATTGTGTGCTTTCATCATTGTTATAGATCTTATCAGTGTTAAATATAGTTACTGCATTAATCTTCAGGCTTTTTGCAAAGTTCCTTACAAATGAAAAAACATGACAAGCTATTTTTCTTTAGACAAGAACAACAAATCCCACAGTACTGTCATGGCAGGTTTCACAAGTAAGATCGGGCAGAAGTGA